CGATGTGGATTGGGGAAGTCAAAGTTCTCGAATCAGATCCATCCCTTGTTAGCATTCGATTTTCTCTCCTTCGCTAGCCACCTTTCCTCCGGACTTTGTACTATACTAGTGCTTTTGTCGTCACTCCTACCTCACTGAGGAGCCTCAAGGGAGTGACGGCAGACAGTGGTTCGTCTGAGGTAGAGGCGAAACGAACCACTTCTTTACTGACCTATTCCTATCACTACATCTTCCTTTTTCTTTTTGGTCCTTCACAGAAGCAGACTAAGGTTTTAATAGGTTACGAAACATAGATCTGTTAAGCTGATCTCGTGAATGGGCTCCTGTGCTTTGAAATAGCAAACTTCTGTATTGAAATTACTTAGTTTTACATCTCTTTCTTTTCTGTAGTTGACAATTAAAGTGAACTTCTGTAACGTTTACTTTTATTCAGCTGCTAGTTATTTCGTTATGGTAGAATTTGGTTTTCAGCAACATGGGATAACATTGCTGGTATATCGTCAATTTTGCTATCAAAGGAGACCAACTGCTTACCTACACGTTTACATGGTGCTATGAACGTGAAGCATTTCCTCGAATGTATTCGACCATTTCAAGATTCTGACTATGGTTCAACAAAGTACCCCTCCCAGGTGCACAATATTATTACGCCAGCATTTTTTTCGGCTAATATTTCCACTTTGTTTAGGTTGAAGAAAGACCTTATACCTTGGAAAGTTATGAGGACGCCGCACTAAGAGTAACGTATCTGCCGTTGAGTGCTCCTCTTCATGACTCAGATAGCAAGGTGCGTCTTTTATGAGAATATTTTGTTCGCTTCTTGAAATTTATTAAATTTTAGAAGTCATAAGATGCAGTGATTACAAACCTTGCCTGTTCATCAGAACCATTGCTTCCGTACTAGGGACTGAAAAATTTCAACAATTTTGAGTTAGCTCTCTTATCATTGCATTTAAGGCGGACTCTTTGAATGTGGCATATCTTATTGAGTTGAAAACACCTCCAAGAAGGATTGATCCACTGAAGCTGATTGCACATAAGGTAGCTTACAGTACTCTTTTTTTTCGCATCTCGTCACTTATTACAATGTTGGCAGGTTCCTAAAGGACCTCTCATAGGGAAGCTCAAAAATGGTGACACCGTAGAGCTCCCTGATGGGCGGAAGATACGGCCTACTGATGTGTTCTCAGACGAGGCTCCTAAGGTAAGATCGTTTCGACAAGGGAATTCCATAAAACTCATTACACACGATTCCGATTTTTAGTAGTTCATGACTTTTCATAAGAATAGTTTTATTTTTAGTTCCTCTTGAATTTTACTCCCCTCCTTTTTGTAGGAAGAAAAATCCAGAGCTCTCGTGTTTGAATGCTCGGGTGAAGCTCACATCAAGGCTTTATATGAAAACTCAGTTTTGCAGGTATGCTTTCTTGGTTCAGGGAAGACATAACGTTTTTTGCAGGTCTCATCTGCAAAAAAAAGCTTTTTTTTGTACCATTATCTATGATCTATCTATGATCGGTTTTATTTGAATTCTTGGATGGAACGTAGTAAAATTTTAGGGTCCAAGGTGATCTTGTCAGGGTTTTCTGAATAAAACTAACTCTTTATTCTTTGTCACGGTAGCGGTCGGAAATTTTGGCCCGAAGGGTTCCTCATGCATTAAATTCCTTCGATCAGAAAAAATCTGAAGAAAATTAGATGGAGATTTTTAAATGCTTTGGATTCTCAAACTTCATGGTTTGAAAATATTGGAAGGCACTACATATAAATATGCGAGGGAGGCTTCCTAGATGGAAGAAAACAATGCAAGAGAAACCTTTTTGGTGAAGTCTTCTGATTGCTCTAGTAATGCATATGTTTTGATCTTCGATGTTAACGCCATGATGTTGTTCAGGATTTTATGGCCGGATCCTCCCACATTGACTACGCCGTCCATCTGAGCGATCAGAGCGTCATTCAATTACCATCTTACGCAAAATTTGTTGCTAGTCTAGGAGAGAAATGTAGTCATGTCGTTGTGAACGAATCTTGTCCGTTTGTGCCAGGAATTGAGAGCATTTTCAGGTATCTTCTAAATTTTTCATTTTTCAATAATTGGATGTTCACTTTTTTATGAACCTGCTGTTCTGCACTGTATAACTATTCAGAAATCATCGCTTGCTCAACAAAATTTGTCCAGATTTGTTCCCACAGTTACATCCGTTGGGTTGGACCGGCCTTGTCACACAAGGGAGTGAACTTGCTGTACATGATGGAGTATACATCAAGGCAGCACCTTTGCAGCGGTTCTGGATGAGGATGGGAGGTGCTCATCATTTTATCATAAGATTTTCTTTGTATTACATTTATCTCTTGTTTCTGTCATGTGCATATTCTTTCTGGTTTATTAACAATGCTCAGGAAATGGAGAAGAACCCATCATTGCTGACCTGCGTGACACAGCTTCAAATTTCACGGACGCAGCGCAGAAGTTGATAGGGGATCTTCATGAAGGTATGTCTCTTATTCTTTCTTATTCCTGTAGATTTTCATAGTGTTTTGTGCATTCTTGGATATCACCTATATGAACCTATCGTAATTATTTGTGCTTCACACCATTGAAGCGAATTTCTGGAAGCATGTATGTAAATCATTCTTGTCCCGCTTTGAGAGCAGCCTCGCCCGCTGCATTTTGCTTGTAAATTTGCAAGGTTCCTTGATAAAAAAGTACTAGATGGGAAGGAGTATGGTTTTTGATGAGTAGTTTGTAATTGCCTTCTTCCCCCTTTTGAATGTTGTTCACTGGGGCGAAGCTTAGCGCTCTAGAGATTCTCGAAAGCCGTCTCATGTGATTTCAGAAGCGAGGCAGTTGCGCGCGTCTTCTTCCTCTGAAGGCGAATACCCACGAGTTTCTTTCTTGGGGACGTCCTCGGCGGTTCCATCCAAATACCGCAACGTTAGCAGCTACCTTTTGGAGGCCAGTTCATCATCAGCTATACTTGTTGATGTGGGCGAAGGCACATATGGGCAACTACGAGTTTTACTTGGGAATCAAGGATGCTCAGAGGTTTGTTACTCATACCGTAATCGTCTCGTTCACCGAAAATTATCCCAAATCACATAATTCGCCTTTTTTTCTCGTATCTAGGTGGTACAAAATTAAATGTTCAAAAATTCTACAAAGCTTAGTGTCTAGAAATTATTTTAGAATCTACTGAAGCGAGGTTCTTCTCGATTATGCTTTGTCTTACGGCTCGCCATAGTGATTTAAAATAGGGGAAATTTCTCTCTGTATATTATTAGGTTGTTGCATTATAAATGTCATTTTTGGATGTGCAGCGTTTTCATTTGTGAGTTGGGCTCAAAAAATCATTTGGTTTCGGCTTTCTCGGCAGAGTCATGTCGCGGTTCAGGTGGTCACGGTCGTTTTTGTTACGCGTCTGTGTCTGTTGAACCCTGGGTTAAGCGCGCCATATGACGGAAACGATTCACAGTGAAGCACTCTCGAATTGCAGGTAGTCATAGTGGCGAAGGAAAAAAGCATCCCAAGAAAAATTTGATATGACCAAAATATACAGTGCGTACCAAAAGTATGTGGACACCCTGGAATCGATTCTCAGGGGGTCAGCTAAAGGCTTTTATGTCATGAAACCCCCACCATTCAACTCCTAGTGGTCGATAACCTACAATGATATTTTCGGCAAAAGATTTCGTTCTAACTTAGCGAACTATTTTTCATGGAAAGTTTTTTCTTTGTATCAAAATTATGTGGACACTTTTTGAAAAACGGCAATATCTTCAAAATCTGAAATCGGTAGGCCTACCAAAGTTTCTAGTAAGTTGAGCCATTCTGTTTGGCAATGTATATGAATGGGGTCTGGATACATGTCTTGCAGATCTGTTCCCAACTAGCAAATTTCACCGACGTGTTAGGTCACTTGTGATATTACTCTTTTGTTCAATGACGTAGAGACCGCGAACCACGATACCTCTACGTTTTCAATAAGGATGAAGTCTGAGGAATACGCTAGCCGACTTGCCAATCAAAGCCGTTGCGTTTAGCATTTTTCCAAATGGAATGGTGTCAGGGACCTCCCCTGCAAAACAAGTGATTTGCGACCATGACTTTTCGAAAAAGGTTGTAGCCGGGACTCAAGCACCTCATTATAATCCTAGTCGTCTACCTGACATGTTGGCAAGCCAAACTTCAATGTCCCCCTCCTTTTGGAACCACCCCAGACCTTTGATGAACATCTTCCGAATTGTCTCTTCGAGCACATCTGCGGGTCCGACCAAAGTCTCTCCAAAAACCTCAAGACCCACCCGAAGTAAGGAAATAAGCTTCTTTCTGCCAGTCGAGTTGGTCTATGAGAGAAATTTCCACAGAAAGTCTTTTATACTAATTTTACCATTTCCACGAAAGCACTGTCTGTGTGGGTTCAAAGTATCATGTTGTGATCCTTTTTTGAGTGGGAATTCCAACCTTGCCAACCTGAACCCGCATTCATATACAAAGCCTTCTTCATCTTCTTTCGTGTCGTGTGCTCAATTGATTGAATGAGACACCGGCTGGTCTTTTTTAAGATCGGGAAGATCATTTATGCGTAAAATTGGGTAGTACGAAAAGAAGAATTCGAGAAAATGAAGGCTATTCCTTCTGCTGTTTTGAACAAGTAGCGATTGAGAACAACCCTCAGTCAAGGTCGAGAGCTTAGCATCAGGATTTCGGATTTCTCTCCAAACCTACGAGGACGCATGACTGGTTGACGTGCTATTTCGCAATAGGAAGGTTCAGAAGCATGGGGATCCCATTTCTGTGCTCGGTCTTCTTCAGAAAAACGCTTGCCGTGAAGAGGAATGATGCCAGAATAAGTAACGAAAGGAGAAGTAAAAATAGGTTAGGAAATCGATGCAAAAACTTCATCTGCCTCAGGGTGTCCACATAATTTTGATACAAAGAAAAAACTTTCCATGAAAAATAGTTCGCTAAGTTAGAACGAAATCTTTTGCCGAGAATGTCATTGTAGGTTATCGACCACTAGGAGTTGAATGGTGGAGGTTTCATGACACAAAAGCCTTTAGCTGACTCCTGAGAATCGATTCTAGGGTGTCCACATACTTTTGGTACGCACTGTAGTTATCTTATTAGTTGTGGACAACATTTGATATCCTTTTTCGATGATAAAAGACAAGTATTCAAAGAGATTAAAAGCTGGTGCGCGGAGCGAAGCTAATCCTCCGATGCGACATTTTCATAACTGTACACACCTAATTATCGTCTCTCATTAGCTATTGCATATCGGTATTCAATTTTGTATTTTCAGTCGCTTCCTGATCGCTTCTAGGCAGACATTATAGAGACTCGGCGCAATTTCTTGTGATGACGGCCCCTGCCCCCTCCCTGCACATGCGGCCCCCCGCGCGGCCGGGTCACCTCTGAGTTCATAGAGAATTCTCTAGTTGTACCATTCGACGAGGTCGAGCATCTCGGATGGTAATGGACGGTTTTCCTGCAAACATACAAATTGACTCTACATGTATTGTTTTTAATGGATGAATCGAATATAACATCGTTACGTTCGATTAAATTTTTAGTTGCTGTGCAAATTGAACGCTGTTTTTATCACGCATGCTCATCAGGATCATATGAATGGCTTATACACAATCATTGAACGGCGTAAAGAAGCGATTGAAGGAGCTGGTAAGTTGTTTCCTAGCTTTGGTAGTGAGCAGTAATTGCTCTTGACATGAATTTCATTGCACTTTTTTCAGGAGGTCAATATACGCCTTTGGTCTTAGTCTGCAATCGAAATGTCTTGAAGCCGTTGAAAACATACTCAATGTGTTTCTCGGACCTCGAATCTCTAGTGGAAATAGTTGACATTTCAAGGCATCCTATTACTCCTCCAGCGAGGTTACTTTTCATTCCTTATTCTTTTGTTACGTCTTTCCCGTCAACCGTAAGCTAAAAATTTCATTTACCCATCGCGCACCCGGCGTTTTCGCTGAAAAGCAGTATATCCGGCGCATGTTTGTACTTGGCATTGCTTGCTGCGTCGCAAACATCAGTAGTCCTTCTAGATCTTCTGCTAAGCACCGCATATATTTAGTGAGTATTTGCAGTATTCACATTTATATATTTGAAGAGTGGAATGAATTTTTACCGCTTGGCAATGTGGTAGATAAGGTAACCACATGTGCGTCATACTTTGAAAACGTCTATCACGTTTACAAGAGCGAGAGGTTTGACTTTTTGAGTCGCGTGGGGCCAAACTGAGTTAGACCTTTTTCGCGGGCGAGGTTTGCGAGCGTGGTAGCCTCACCTCACATCCGCAGGTTTTGAGTGGTATATACCTAGTGTTTGTGGACTGGAATAATTAAAATAACGTTTGTGGGCTCAATTACACAGAGGTACAATAGTAGACCTTCGACTGAAAGGACGTGTTGTCACAGAGAAAATCACTTTTTAATTACGTTTGCTTCAGTGGAGGTCTTTTTTGGCGTAGTTGTTTCGCTATAATGTTTATCTTGCCTACCGTGTAGGATTTCTTCGTTTTTGCTACCTTTTTTTAAACTATATTCTTATGACAATTAAAAGAAATTGAGGGATGAAGAAATGACATTTTCTCGAACCGAAAAACTCCCCTAAACTGAAGCACATTTGAACGTTCTATGGATTCAGCGTTTATATTAGGCTGGCAAAAAAGTTCTTCGACAGAAAAACTACTTTATTTATAAAACTATAAAATTTGTCAAACACTTCACATATCAACGATATATTCTCCACAAATATCAATTACCTTCTCCCATCTTTTGGGTAAGTCACTGATGCCTTTTGCCCAGAAGTCAGGAGACTGTGACTCAAAAAAGTCATTCACTGCCATTTTCAGATCATCATAAGTTTGAACTCTCTTCCTCGCAGGTGGTGCTTAAGTGGCCGGAACAAGTGGTAATCGGAGGGCGCAAGGTCCGGGAGTACGGCGGGTGAGCAACCGGGTGCCAGCCAAGTTCAGCAATTTTCTACGAGTCTCCGACGCTACGTGTGGACGCGCGTTGTCGTGCTGCAGGTACACTGTCGATCGTCTTGGGCGTTTTTCACGAAGAGCATCGGCCAGATGCTGGAGCTGATCGATGTAGACAGCAGCTGTGACAGTCTTGCCTGCGTGCAGTAGCTCGTAGTAGACCGGTCCTTTCATATCCCACCATACTGAGAGAAGATGTTTGCGCTGGCGAGTGTTCGGCTTTGCCTGAGTTGGTGGCTCAGCGCCGCGAGGGAGCCAAACGGCAGTCCGTTTGTTGTTATCGTACATTATCCAACTTTCGTCACCAGTTACCAGATCCGCAAGAAAGTCCCTACGATTCGGCTGAAAAAGCAGTGATTCACAGATGTTGACACGCACCTGCTTCTGGGCGTCGGTCAGTCGGTGGGGGATCCATCTTGACAGCACTTTTCGATAACCGTGCCTTTGAAGGAAGTTCTCGATGGTGGCATGGGAGCATCCAAGTGTCACGGCTAACTCACGCGTAGTGGCTTCCGGTTCGCTGTGACAGCTCGTAGCAGTTCATCATCATCAATGGTTCGTGGTCGTCCACTGCGCTCGTCATCTTCAAGGCAGGTATCTCCTGCAGCGAAGCGCTTGTACCAGTTGCTAACCGTTGAGCGGTGAACAGTGCCTTCACCAAATGTGGTGTTGATTATGTCAGCCGCTGCACTCGCTGCTTTCCTTTGGCGCCACTCGTAGAAGATAATGGTGCGGAGTTGATACTGAGAATCAACTGCTGCTGTGTTCTAAGTGTATGTTTTATGTACCGGAAAGCTCTGCGCTCCTTATATACCCTTGTAATGATTGCTTTGAAGATGCTCTTACATGTTATCACCCGGACTACGCGTACCCATTGTTCAAGCAAGTTTGTCACATTTTAAAATTTTTGTCTAATTATGTTATTGTGTGGAGTCTGCATTATAAATCCAAACTTGGGATTTACATTGATTGAAATAATGAGGTTATGGTGTTGGGTCGGCATGAGGGACTATTTTGTTATTTGGGCAATTCTCTTAGCTTAAAAGGGGTGGCATCCATAAATGCTCGCAGTGGAGTGATCTTTTTTCTGCTGCTTGTTAACCAAAAAGGTCGAAACTAAAATGTTTATGAGCAGGATCCGATAACTTAAATCTTTTTTTAACTGGTGCAGTCCCATGTGGTTGTGTTCTTCTGGATTCAACTCTATAGTTCTGCAAAATTAGAGCATGCAATCAAATAATGACCATGAAAAACCATTGAAACATGCGCAGCATGTGGCCACATTGAGACGAATTAGCGTGCTGCTCCATCTTAATCACGCTGTACGCAATGGGTCAATTGAACCAGTAATAAATACATCATGTTAAGTAGAGCTGCAATTGAATCGTGTTTCAGTCTGGTCTCCAACAAAAAGAGCGTTGGCGAGTGCTCCGGGTTGTCGTGCGTTGCCGCAATGTGTTTGACAATATCCACGACACTTTTTTGATCGAGAATTCAGATAGTGTATCAGAATCAAGCTGTCCAGGTGACGATCAGTAAAGCTTGATTTGCCAGATTTTGACTAGGTTCCCTACCATGGTCAAAACTGAACACGAGGTTGTCGAAATCATTTTGAAAGTGTATCAGGTGCATCACACAAGAATGGCGAACGGTTTCATCTTTCGCGTTTGTGTGGAAAGTGGGGCGTTGTGTGGTATTTTCCGGCGAACACATAACATATGTTTTTATTTTTTTTATGATCTGTTGTATGAGGAGGCAAGGTCGCTGATTCTGTCATCCACGAAGCTACATTCGAAGATGGGCATGAGGTACATCATGGAGCCTCATGGAGTCCTAACCTTTTGCCTCCATGACTTATCTCTGTTTAGGCCGATGCTCTAAGAAAGAAACATTCGACGATGGGTCAGGCTGTTGAAATCGGTCGCAAGATGAAAGCACGAAATGTTATTCTGACCCACTTTAGTGCAAGATATCCGAAGGTGTGGTCTTTCAATGGTATTTCAGCTTTCGAAACCAATTTTATCAAACTTTTCTTTTTGGGTGTGATAGCTAATTTCATTTCTTGTTCCAAGAACCATTCAACTAACTTTGCCCTCTCTGTTCTCTCCTGCTCCCAGTGACGCTTCTTCGAAGCACTTCCAGAACGCTAGGCTAGCTTAGTGCGAATCCCCTATCTTTACAGAACTTTTCTTGTACAGTAGATACATGATGTTTTTTCCTTCGTAACTGGCGCTTTTCAATCTGATTATAGTCTACTACTTTATTCCTCAATGTAATTCTATTAACTATGCACCTATCAGTTCAATCTCTCGCTTCGACATTGTAAGGTCACAATCGCCTCTTATTCAACACAATTTTCGAGGTGAACCAAAATTGTTAACTTCTGGTTCTGGTTTTTCCTTTTATATTCTTAGGTTGTCTGCTTCATTTATTATCCACTGAGAAATGTTTTCCTAAACATTTTTTTTGTCTGACGGAAATTGCTGGTACTCCGTCGTCGTATTTTTAACGAAACTTTGTGTCCTATAGCCTTTCGCTGATTAGAGCGACTGTAATCACCACTTTTCTATTTGAAGTTTCGGCCCCCTTTTGATGGCAAGCTTTCATCATTCGAAATTCGTTTACAGGTTCCCGAGCTTCCAGCTTATCTTGAGAAATGCGGTAATGTTGGCGTAGCCATGGATAATTTGAGCGTCCGGTTCGACCATCTAGCTTTGGTGCCAAAACTGATACCAATCTTTAGGTAAGCTATATTCAAATAGTGCTGACTGTGCTGCATATGATATGTGGTGTTACAGGGAGGTTTATCAGGAAGAGCTGTTTGAGATAGAGCTACGAAAGGAGTCTCGCAATTTCAAACAAAAGGAAGAACGTGAATCCAAACAGAAGTCAGAGCTGAAAGCGCGAGAAAACACAGTGGCAAATTAGAAACTACTCGGCGAATCGGGAGCCTTATTACTAGAAATTTATATTGTTACGCTATTTGTTGTTGTTATTGTTCAATGTATGTAGTATTGAATGCATAAATGGTTTTACACACACTCAAAGAAGCCGAACAATCGAGTCGGTGTTGTGAATCCACTGATATATTTCCTTTCAGCTACCTCTTGTGATGTATATCGTTTTTTTATTAACTTGTAATGATGTGTTTGAGGTTTCTCTCGTCGAGAGTAGTGAATGGCGGAGGAAGTGCAAGCCGATGTGAGAATCCTCCTAGTTGGAGAACCTGGCGTTGGGAAGACGTCGCTGGTAATGAGTCTCCTTGAAGATGAATGGGTAGAAAATGTACCAGCTAAGTTAGACAGGTATTGTTTGAAAGTCACATTCGTGTTGTTTTCTTTTATTTTCTACTCATGAATTGCATGCATAGGTACACTATTGAGAACGTATAAAATAATGCCTGAATAATTTTCTACTCATACTCTACCAAAATTGAGAGTGAGAAGCTCTCACTCGTTCACCAAAAATGGTTATGTAGTAAATAGGTAAGACCATGATTATTGGGTAAATTACTAGCGACAGCAAGCAGTCGTAAATTTGGACTATACTTGTAACTCCTGAGTTTTTTTTGCTGTAATAGCTTGTGCAGTTCTCTTGAGAGCAACGCGTTATCGGCTTTGGCAATGTGGAAGTACTCTAAAAAGCAGAATCAACAAGCCACATCGTGGCTCTCCAAATAGTATGGTATGCTGAAAAAAATGTAAATCTTTTAGGGTGCTAATTCCGGCTGATGTCACTCCAGAGAACGTCACTACATCCATCGTTGATTGTTCATTAGGAAACGAAGGTAGGAATGGATCCGAATTTTGCACTAATTTCCTGTCATTTTTCTCCTGTTCCAGGCGAAGCATACATCACTTCCGAACTAAAGCAGGCAAATGTTGTTTGCATCGTTTATACGGTATCTGATGACAATACGATTAAACGGGTTACTGACAAGTAATTATTATTTTTCTCTAAAAACGGCTCAAATGTCTTCAAAGGACGAATCTTATCCGATTTTATAGATGGCTTCCGTTATTGCGTGACGTATATGGTCCTGAACATGAGATTCCTGTGATTCTTGTTGGTAATAAATCAGACGGCTCCACGAATCACACGGATAAGGTTAGCCTTTCCAGATGCTCGTGTGCATTACGTAGTCTGGCTAGCATATGCTTTTTTATTGACTTTTGAACTTCTGGCTGTTCGTATATACTCGTTTCATTTGTATTAGAGAGTTTGGTTATTAGGTATTGCCAATTATGGAACGGTGGCCAGAAGTTGAGACTTGCGTGGAGTGTTCAGCAAAAACAATGAAAAATGTGAGCGAGATATTCTCTATGCACAAAGCCGTTGTACCACCGGACCAACTTACGTCACACAATACACGGAAAATCGAAGGAACTCTATTCGAGTCCTTCCCAGAGATATACGTGTTTTCGAACCGATGCACCCGTGTTCATTATGACCGAACTTCAAATAGTCCTGTACTCTCCGGAGAGACATTAATATGGAATGGAATTTTGCAGATCTGTGATAGGGACAACGACGGTTACCTAAATGACGCAGACACTCAACGAGTTTCAAAAACTTTGCTTCGGCATACCATTGACATCTGCGGCAATAGAAGATGTGAAGAGGGCTGTTGCAGATGGCTGCAGTGATGGAATCGTCGAGGGTGCTCTTTCTCTGCCAGGTTAGTTGTGCAGTCTGCAACATTAATACTTTCTGATTGCCTGCGCCCGCTTGTAGTAATTCGCCACATGTCAAAGCGTGCCTACTGTCTCTACCACCGCTATTCATTTAAGGGTTTACTCTAACCTCAATCTGCCTTTTCATTGAGAGACACGGACGCAACGAGAACAACATGGACCGGTGCTGCGCTAGAAGTTGGATATGAGTCAAATTTGAAACTCGGAGAGGATTATCTTTATCCGAGAATCCAGGTGAGCGCATTGCTACATCTTGGCTAGCTAAACGGCATAACTCGCGCCACAGACGGCTTCTGCACCCCTTCTCTGTTCCCGCTGTGTGTTACCAGTTACATTATTGCGCACCATTTCAACATGGTGCGCCAGTAGTGTAAGTGATAGCCCATTGTCCAGCTAAGCAGAGATGTGGGTCTGAACCCACTTGAGGTGTAAGTTGCGCCGGTAACTCAGCATTTTGAGAAAATATAGATTTTGGTTTACAAGCTGATACTCGAGCCACATAATTAAGAAATAGATTATCGTCAACACAAGAAAATACTCGAGGTGCAATACCGCGGTCTGACGGACCTTATAGTTTACACGATATGAGAACTCCCATTAATGGCTTTGTAACAAGTTACAACGCCATTAATGAAAACGTCCTATTTCCAGGTTCCAGTAGGTTGCTCCACTGAGCTGTCTCCTGAAGGTATTCAATTTCTGTCGGCTCTATTTGAAAAGCATGACGAGGACAAAGATCAGTGTCTTTCACCGTGCGAACTCGCTAATCTCTTTAGTGTATGTCCAACAGCAGCACTCAGCAGAGAGGTCAGTACAACCGTTTTCGTCACCTACATTGGGATTTTTTTTGTGTTTTATTACTTTTGCTTTTGGAAAATGTGCCGTTCAGTTTATCTATTACTTTCTTACATTATCCTTGGTCTTTCGTGGGTTTCAGATACTGTCGGCTGTTGAAACAAATGCACGCGGATGGATAACGTATGCCGGCTATATGGCATATTGGAAGTAAGCGTACAAACTTTTCAGTGAAAAATGTTTACTTTAGTTAATAGTTATGTTTTCAGCATGACCACTCTAATTAATGTGTCGCAAACGATGGAGCAGTTGGCGTATTTGGGATTTGCTGTTGGCCGCAGTACCCAGAGTTAGTGTTTTGATTTCTCAAGCTAAGGAGCGATGATGCTCATTAAGTCATTCATTAATACGTACATTCACCATACCTGGGCCAACGGTGAACATGCCTATTGATTGCAAAAAATTGTGATATTGAAGTTGGCCTTGCTTTGTGGTAACTACCGGATGTGCCATGAAATTTGATTCATTTTTTTCGGCAGGTTGTGGCTCAAATCCTATATGCTACAACCTTTCATTCTGGCATTATTCAGGAAATCCTCACACAATTCAAATATAATATACAGGGGTGGCCAAAAAAAAAGACCACTCTGCTCATGGCGCATTCATCGAACTTTTCGTCGCACAGAGTGCCGATGTTAGTGAAGTTTCTACGGCGTAATACTCCATAGGTGTTCCCCGTAAGCAGAAGCAGCCCCTCCTTCGCTGTCCCCGCCGTCTCCAGAATATGACGTCATCTACCGCCACCGTCGAGCTCAACGAGGCTTACCGTAATCGCTCCGACCTGAAGCTGCTACACAATTTCTTCAATGGATTTAATTGTTGAATAGCTTCCCAGAGACATTTAGGCTGTGAATATGCAAAACCGCTTTTGACCTGCATTTCAGGAGATCGTAATGGTCTATGGTACCTCGACGACCTCGTTGAGCTCGTATCGCGAACTATATTTCCGTGGGAAAATCTTCTGATGTCGTCGGTGTAGAAGGCTGTCGTATAAGGTTTAGATAGATAGAAGGTGCTCTTCAATAATGAGTTGGGGGCAGTCGATTTGATTCTTAGCAAAGTGTGATTAATGCTGTCTGAAATGTGGAGTCAAGTGTCTCTTTTTTTTGGCCACCCCTGTATGTATTGCTTT